AGAGTATAAAGAACCATGCTGGTGTATAGAGATAGACATTAAAATTGATAATAGGTAAGAGGGCAAATAGATTACAATATCGATAATTTATAGTAAGTTTTCACTCGTTAAGAGTAATTTTCCGTAAACGTTAATGATCATTTAGTAAACTTTTTATCTCTTTATCTTTTCAGTATGGTATTCGTGTGCACATTCCTCGAATATATAACCATGCTACACTTTCTTCGACGAGTTGTACCAATATATCGCATAAAAGACATTAGAAATTTCACAATGGTTAATGTTAGTTAATAATTATTGAGATCATATGCCATATGAGTTATTGTTTGTGTCATAGAACGTGAGGCATGTATCAACATGATATTATTAAGAAAAATCAATTACATTTTGACAAATTTCTTGCTGTACGTGCATAAAATTAGAAAAATAAATAATAATTTAATCCAAGATTTAATTTGTCAGGATAAATATGTTATTACATGAATATGTTAATAAAGCGAAGAAATATGATTCGATAAGTGGATGATGAAACATTTTTCTATGAATATCGATCTGATGCTAAAAGATCTTAATTTATGTTGTTGTTGTTTTTTTTTTTTTTTTTTTGCAATTAGTATTGCATTACAAATTATGCGGAATAAATAAATAATATTGTTTGATGCCTTTAATGTATGATCTAAATTCATTTAACCCAGTGTTTCCGCGAGAGAGATATAGCAGTAAAATATCACTACAACTCATTAATTAATGGCACGGGATTCGTCTATGTACAAATAATGAAATATCATTTACCACATACCATTTATATACATCACATGTTTATCTTTTTTTATGCATATGCACATCATTTTTTTCTGTGACGTGGAGGGACTCGTTTGTACAATTTATGTATATCTTCGTTACTATTTCATTGCTTCGTTTGTCATGCCTTCTCTCAATTGTTTTGAGTAAGAAGCCTCCAGCAACTCTATACGTTTTATAGCCTTACTACTCCAAATCCAGATTATATTATAAGTATCTCTGCATGTAAATAGAGAATCAGATGTCGTCATTTTTAATGAATTTTTTATGATCTTAGGTATCTCGTCAAAGGATATATTTTTTATCTGTAATTTAAATAAAGCACGACGAAGAAATAACAAGTGAATATTTTGAATATTGATGTACAAATAATCGAAATGATATTTTTCGTTATGAATAATTTGATCTAGATAATTTCTGGATTTGTAGAGTCAAAAAATTTGATTATTTCGTTTCATTTATCACAATCTACGTCTTTGCATCTGAATCTCTAAACTTGTTGTAAGAGTTACATTACACATAATAATAATTATATTAGTAGAAACTTAGTTTCTGTAACAATTGTATTGTCTTAAATGATATGTCTGCTAATTTTGTTACCTTTGACCTATGCTCCGAGCCCGTGGTCAAAATACATAACAATTTTATTCTTAAATAAACTAATTTTAAGATTCGAAATTCTAGAACCTTATATATAAGATATAGATTTCTAGTTCTACGTTCTGTCACTCGTGCTGGAGGCTATTGTCTAGGCGTAACAAAAGCAAGAATGTTATACGATCACAAAAGGAGTATTTCCATTGGGCATTAAAAGTATTCGTGTCATCGTGATTAATCATGTGTGAATCTAACTGGAATGGCACACAAAATGTCGGATCTACAAAATGTCTTTGTAGCTTTTTAAATTAACAAGCAGTGAACAAAATCTTATATCGAATAAAGAATAATATATCGTATCTCTAAAAGGAAATTAAATTAATGCCGTTGGTCGTACTCCAAAGGATAATTACAGTATTTGAAAATAAATAAACAAATAAATACATACGTAGGCAGTTAAATATATAAATAAATTATGAAATAATAAATAGTTAAATAAATAAATAAATAAATAAATAAATATATATATACATATATATTATATAAATAATAGAGATGTCATAGCCAAAAGGTTAATTGTCTAATTTGTGCATCTTCTTCATAAATTGAAAAGAAATAATTGGAAACGAAAATTATACGCTGATAGTAACTATTTGAAATTCTGCTTCATTACATTTAGAACATTTAATGCCCGAAGAGAAATATTTTCTTTCCTTTTATCGCCGAAACTTCACCAAATAATCATGAATTCTATATACCTTACGGAAGCAAGTAGAAGATTAATAGACTTTTTTAAAAGTTATCGAGACTTGGCAGATTTTTTAAAAGCGTCCTCAGTCACTTTGCAATTATTTTAAGAAAAGTTTAGAAAGGTTGAAATGTATATGGTGATTTATTTAATGGTAAAAGTTAATAAGAAGAATAATGTTAACAGTAACAATATTTTAAAGGTAGAATTATAGCGTCTACAATCTCGGTGTGGCAACTCTCTTGAATAACAATTTAGAGTTTCACTAAATGAAACTTGATATATATATATATATTAACACTTATAGAACCTTAGAAGAACGCCTTTCAGTATTGCTTTGATTCGCAATGCATTTTGTCTTTCTCAAACGTATATTATATGCAATTCTTAGAAAGGATGTTCCTATATATATCCATACATATATAAATAGAAAAAAAAATAATGATCATAATCTGACTGAAATGAAAGAACGTAAGTAAATATATCGTGTTTCAGTAAATAAAATTTAACAGAATGCTACTCAACGTAACGCAATGCAACGCAACGCAACGCAACGCAACGCAACGCATCGTGTGAGAAATAAAGGGATACGTGTTTTACATTTAAAAAAGAAGAGGAATATCACGTGCATAGACAAAAAGCTATATAATGTAAGAGAAAAATAAAATGGTTTTGTCTTAAGGCACCTTACATATAGGAACATCGTTACGTCGTGTTCATCTAAAAAAGAAAGAAAGCATCATTCCTGATTAATTTTAAAATCGTGCGGCCCGTCATTGTTTTTGCAAGAGTCTCGCCACGTAATCCCTAATAAAGTAGAAAATCAAGTAAAGTGTATATAGTGTACTTAGCTCATAGAATCTCTAGAGAATCTTCCTAAAACAACCTAAAACCTATTCTACTTAATGTGCATAAATTTCATTTACTTGTACATACAGACACTGATGTATATATGTACAGACATATACACATATTATGTACAGATAGCAATTTTATAATCAATATTTTAGTTATATTTTTAATAAAACTTCTACATCCTCTGCCAGGACTGAATGTAAATATGTATAATATTTATGCATTGACGCTTGTGTACTCGTTATATTACACTCAGTTTCGGAGACCGAGTGACATCTCCGAGTGAAACTTGAACAATGTTCTTCTTAAAGAACTATTTCGCCATGACTATAAATTATTTTTAATTACATCGATCGTTTATACATATTTATATATTTATATATATTAAAATTTATACGATTTAATATCGTATGCTTTGTATAACAAAGATAAGGAAATTAGGGAGTCTCTCAACGATCTTATGTGCGTACGGTAAATACTACTTATCGATCTTTTCTTATATATATTAATAATAAAATAATTAAATACAACAAGATAGAGAAAATACAAGCAATCGTTTCTTCCGCAGTAGGATCAATTTCCGAACCATTTATCTTTAATCCTTGTAATCATAAAAAATGTGCCAAAGAAGAATTTTAAAGTGGCTAACGAATAAATTGGCTAATAAAAGATTCATAAAAAAATTCACATATAATAATTAAAATTCATTTATTTTAAATTGATTTATTAAATATGCTAATAATTGTGTATGTTTTAATATGAAATTAAAATTTTTGTTCGTAATTTGACCCTCGAGAAGAATAGAAGAAATTGAAAAATAATAAACTGTAAATGTTACTAGGAGGTCACTCAAAAGAATGATAAAGTGGCAATAAATAAGAGCAATTTCTTGTGGCACAATTTGGGAACATTTCACGTGCATAATAAATAGGTACACATTAGTCTTTGAAACCGCGATGATCCTCGTATATACGTATATCAAATATTCCGGTCGTGACTGCAAAGCTAGCTTTTTATTTGCTATTTTATTCAGGCTTCTCGTTTGCAATCAATATTTCATCACTTGCCTATTGACCGAGTACTTTATAACACGTTTGCTTGTTCGTTTTTCTATTTGTTTATTTTTTTTTATTTCTTAGGCCATATTCATCGATCACGGTGAAATTTATTAGCATTATCTCATCATCGACGATAAGCGTTCACCCTAACTTTCACCGTTTCATTATCCATTTTTTTTTTTTTTTTTAAGAAGAAAAAACGTATAAATATCGAATATCTTATCTCTTTATCAAAAACAAAGGCTTGAAGTTTTTGATTGCATTTCCCGAGAAGAGCTATTCCTATCGATATCAGCTGCTTAACCAATGTAGCAAGCTGAAGCGTACGATGTTTGTCGGATCGTTTCACGAAAAGAAAGTCATCCATCATTCGTATTACTAATATACGGGCATATGCCTGATACACCTATCCGATGAGTTTGTAATTATAGTCCAGCTAAAAACGCTTACTTCTTGCAAAGTAGGAGTCCTCGATTCTTTATATTTTTCGGCTTCCAATCGGCAGCTTTTGTGATCGCAGATAAGAAATATTTTTATTTCGGAAGTAAATAGTTTTAGAATTTGTGTGTGTGTGTGTGTGTGTGTGTGTATTACATTTTTTCGGACGCGATTATATCTTCTTGGAGCGGACGACGTTTTTTCCTTTTCTTTTTTTATCACTTCACTGAGGTAGGAAGAGATAATCATATTATCGCGTACGGATAAACAAGAACCTGCTTATGTTATCGCGCGATCGTAATCAAAATTCCTACCGTTAGAAACAGCCTTCGTTAAGGTAACTTAAGTTGAATTATGATGGTCTCCCCCTATGGTGGCCTAAGTCTTGTAGGGTTATGCCATATATGCGCTGCACTTTGAGCACTGGTGTCGTTGTTCATCAAGGATACCTGCTGTTGTTGCAAGTATTCTTGAGTTTGCGGGGATACACCGTTTGATTGTTGCTGTTTTTGTTGCTCTTGCTGCTGCTGTTGTCTTACTTGTTGATTCGGTTGCTGCAATTGTTGCAGCTTCGATTGTTGCATCGGACGTTTAGACTCCTGACCCGTAGAATCGGGGGATGGTATTGACCTGTGTGACTTCATGTGTGCGCTTCTGCTTTTCACTTTGTTGAAAACTCTGCAAAGAAACAAGTCGTGTCCATTGAGCTTAAGATTATTTTTCTATCATAGGTTAATAGAGCAAAAATAAATCAATTTATTATTTTATACAAAAGAACAAACATTGAATGTCCGTTAAATTATTCGTAATATAACATATGTCATGCTTTTTAAGGTACTTGCAGCACAGAGATATGTGTAAGATAACATATTTGTTATATTTGATAGACAAGTTGCGCAATTTTTATTAAAACTAGCATAGTGTAAATATTTGAAAGTAGTGAAAGAGCAAATAAATGTGATATAATGCAAAGAAAATGAAGTTTGCAGATCAATATGTGCTTTAAAATAAAGGTTAAAGGTAATAATACTAAATGCCAATCGTTAATCGAACAACATTAACGTAGCATGAGTTTGCTAATACAAAGGATTGTTTAATGTAACAGAAATATGCTTTTTGATGTATTATACGTTCGTTATTTTTTTTTTTTTTTTTTTTCATCGCAACAGCACTAAAGGGGTATGTATGACTTGTGTGTACAAAGTTGGAACGAGGTGATAACATTCCTCTTCACTTGATTTTGCTTTTCCATTGTGTGAGAAAAATATTACATTAAAATGGAGGGTTTTGTTGGTAGAGTTACTTTCTGAAATGATCACAGAAAGTCTTTTCTTTTGTTTTGCTTTTTTAAAGTTTTTGAGTATTGCGTTGCATATGCTTAAAATCGATACTTGCCGACGCTCGCAGTATAGTTAAATAACTTTTTTCTTCGATTATTGGAAATGGATAATTTAGATTAGAAATTGGAGACTTACTTCCCGCAAATCTTGCAGGGGTAGTGAAGTGGGGTAGGCACGGGTAGTTGTTGCTCAGAACTAGTGTGAGTTTGTGAGTTGGTGTTGACTGTAGCTTGGCCGGTTTTGCCGGTTTTGCCGGTTTGGGCGATTTGGGCGGTTTGGGTGGTCTCGGCCATCGTTACTGTTACACTTCCGCTAAAGCTCTGACAACACAAAGAAAACACAAAGCCAAAATAAACAACACAAACAAACGACAACGACGACGACGACGACGACGACGACGACGACGACGACGACGACGACGACGACAGATGAGAAACACAAAAGTCAGCGCAAAAAACGTACGGTACATTTCTTTTGAAACGTTTAAAAAGAAAGCGTGAAGAAATGGACAGATCAACAACAAATCACATGCGACACTTATAAAAACGTACACGCGCAAATACACGTAATAGTACGCATGTAATGTTCTCAACGGCAAACGTACATTCTGTATAAAAAAACGAATCGATCGTCTTTGGTAGATATAGCATGCTGAGCACAATTAAACAAGCAAGCATTTAGAATTGTGAGCCTTTTATCGAATTGCCTTTTTTGAAATATTTCTAAATGTGACTTTCGTGCTCAGTATATTATACTTTTATGTTTTTTGTATTTACATGAAAACATTATTTTATAATTACGATTTAATCGTCGTAGTTGTACGATTAAGTCGTACTACTACAACTATAATAATTTTATATTTTGTAAAATTTCAACAGTAATTTTTTTTCTTTGATAAAATATTTCGCTAATAAGATAGCAAAAAATATACATATACATATACATATAAATATAAATATAGATATAAATATATATATATATATATAACTTGAAGAGGAAGACTTACATCGGGGCAGTCATAGGCGAATAATCTTAATTCTCCTTCGCTGGTAGTAAAAGTCGCTGAATTTTCTCTCTCGTTTGTCTGTAACTGAATATTGTGGCAAAAAAAGGGGAGAAGAAATTAGGTGGTAATTTAGAAAATAAAATAATAAACGTTACGGAGAATAATTTGTCTTTAGGATAAGCTTACTAGAGTACGATGAAGGATCGATTTCTCTTCGTTGAAGTCCATTTCTGTAACGGATGAAATGGCGTCGCGAAGCTCTCTCATATCGTTACAATCCTTATTTTCAATTTTAATTTTGGCCTTTCCGTGGTGAACGCGTAGCCGTTTATAATCATCGGAACAAAGTCTTTTCCAGAGATAATAGAATTGCACACATTGCTTGACTGACTTAGTCCCTAAGTCTCGTGAAATTAATGAAAAATCCTTATTATAATTAAGTAATCCTTGATAGAACGTATCCATCTCGTGTGCTGTCCAACGGTCTGATTCATGGCATTCATGGCTGAGCAACGGATGTTCAGAAGGTAACGTGGGCGTTGGTCTCATCAATTTCAGCATAGCTTCCTATTAAACATAAATTATGTATTAAACATTATATTAAAATTACGCATTGGAACACAGATGGAATTTTTCTCGAAATAAATATGACAAAACTTATAAACAGAGGGGAGAAACTTATATGATTATCTTATTGTTAGAGAATAGACACTTACATGAATATTTCCTTTACACATGTGTAACAAATGAAGCGCATATTCCGTATTTCTTCCGCCTCCTGGTATGCCGGCACAACAGGCAAAATGTAAGTACATATCCACTGAAATAGAAAACAGTGTAGAGTTAAGAAAGAATTGAAATTATGACCAACGTTGGAGTCTTATAAAATGGTAACTCACACTCGTTGTTAGTGACTAAATCATTTATGCCTGGATCCCAAAGAAGATGGTCCTCTTCGGGTCCTCCTTTTCCTCTGTCTACGTCGGAACCTAATGGTGGAATTGTGGGTTGATATCTGGTGCCTATGTTGATTCTTGGTGGTGGCCCTTCGTTTCCTTGAGAATCATCCGAACTGAAATCCGAATCTTTTTCGTATTGATGCAGTCTCGCATAAAGCCCCGAACCAAGACGAGTAGGATCCAATATGGGCGGTGGGGTGTAACTACTGTCCCAATGCCGATCGCAGAGTTTCCTTAATTTTGATGGATATGAATAGGAGCTGTTGGAATATTGGCCATCCATTCGTTGCCTTTTCCTGCATTGTCGCATCATCGGGCTGTCAACGGAAACGCTGCTAGGACTAAGAAAAACGTCCTCGTCCAACAGTTCTTCCTTTATCTGTTCTATCGGTATCGAAAGATTGCCTATCATGCCCTTATTTTGTCTTAAACTATTGTTTTTTCCGGCGTGAGTAGTTTGAATTAAAAACTTGGCCGGATTAACGACTTGCTGCTGATTGAATTGTCCTGCATTAAATTGATTTTGCGTTTGTACGTTTAGGCCGAGATTTACGGTAACAGGCTCGACTTTTGGTGTAGCTAGTCGAATTTCTTTCTTGAATGCAAGCGCTGGACTAAGGGAACCCGCTTGCACGAGAACGTTTGTCTTCGGCAAACCTGCCGTTTGAATGAGTTTTAATTCGCCGTTGTTGTCGACGACTATGCTTGCGAGGCTACCGTTTCCTAAGCCAAAGTCGACGAGATTTTGACTGGTTACGAGTTTGTAAGATTGGAATTCGAATCTACGGCGACTAGAGGTTGTGAAATCTTTTGGTGTCGACGATAAGAGCGGATCTTCAGAATTTGGCATCATTTGACTTTGGAGAGCGTGATGAGGTGACACGGGAAAATTGGTATTAGTAAAGGTGACAGGTCCCGGAGAAGACACCGATGATGGTGGCAAAGATGAAAGAGGAGAAGGTGCTGGCGTTGCCGATAGTGGACTTGGGAGCGGTGAATGTGGATTTGGTGATGGAGATCCGTAAAGACCTGCATCTGCTTCCGATTCACCAGGCAATACTTCGCTTAAAGCCTCTTCCACCGCCGCCGCCGAAGACATCGTTGTCGTGTAAAAAGCCGCGGATAAAGGCGATGAAACTTGACGGACCGATTCGGGATCTTCTTGAGGACTCAACAAAGGAAGACTCCCAGTAAGAAGTCCTTCCTGACTGGCCGGTGGCGTTGGATATGTAAAACTAGGGCTGTCATGTCTTGTAAGCGGAGATGGTAGCGGTGATTGCGTTGGCAACGTGTGCGGACTTTCTGTATATTGGGCACCGTAAGTACTAAATTCTGCCAAAGAATCTGGGAGCGGTGAGTTTACTAAGGCCTGGAGATCTGGATTGACCGTGTGTTGCGACGAATATCTATCTTCAAGCGTTATGTCTTGCAATTGCTCAGTAGATTGTTCTTGCAATAAGTTCGCAGTCTGAAACTGAACGTAATTTCATCCTTGATTTGAGTTATTTTTCTTATATTTTTTTTTTTTTTTTAACCTATCTCTCGAATTACAAATTTTTTTTAGAGTTTACAAATCTTTGAAAAATAATAAAAATGTAATAATTTACAGAAAACATCAAATACTTACTTGAATAGAATCCAATTGAGTAGCATGAGGAAGAACGCTATCTGATACAGTTGTAACCTGCTGAAATACTTCATCTTGTAAACTTGGGCTGAAGTAACCACCATCTTCAGAGTATCCTGCCATTGTGAAGGATTCTGTAACGGCGGATGTTGCTTGAGATTGATTGTTTGGTTGCTGTTGTTGTTTTGGTTGTTGTTGTTTTTGTTGCAGTTGTTGCTGCTGCTGTGGTTGTTGCTGTTGTTGTTGCTGTTGTTGTTGTTGTTGTTGTTGCTGTTGTTGTTGTTGTTGTTGTTGTTGTTGTTGCTGTTGTTGTTGTTGTTGACTACTCGTCGTAGATTGCACCGACGATTGATACGTAAGATGCAATCTTTGACCAGGATCGGATGTGGTTCTTTTAACAGCCATCTTTGTGGTATTCTGTAGTGAAGAAATGAGATCAGGTAAATTGAATTCTATATTGATGAAATTAAGAATTTCGTTAAATTAAGCTAAACCGACCTTCAGTATCATATCGGCCAGTGCTTGCGCTTGTGCTTGCGTTTGCGCTTCCTGAAGTTGTTTTTGCACAGTTGTGTGCCCACATACGGTGACGTTCGGTTGCCGAAAGTGTTCTCCATCAGAAAACCTACGTACTTTTTCGCTTGTTGCCAAAGGTGGAGGTGCTGGTACAGCAAAGCTGGTTTTTCCGTTGATTTGAGAGCCGTTATCTACTTGACTCGTAAATATGTTACTATTATTCACTCGAGGTTGCTGATTGATGTTCGCGTCCGCAGCTAGAATCAAATTTTTACATTTCATCATACCATTTAATCGTTGGAAAGATATTTGTCTATTTTATGTGTTTTAGCTTAAAGAAACTCACTTATTTGTTGTTCAGTACAAAATGATGTTCTTATATTTTCAAGAAATAAAATATGTTTTGAACAACGTATTCTCGAGAACTTGTAAAATAGCAGATAAAAAACCAATGAGAATTTGAAAGGAACACAAATATACATGCAATAAAATATATATATCTACGTATGTATAGTACTTATATGTCAATAGATGCATGTAATATGCATGTTATAAACTGTTTATATCGAAAAAAAAGTCTTCTTTCGTGCATTTCTTTCTCATGTAATCTCCCGTTTAACAGTGAATGAAATAAAAAGACTCAATAATTATTTTCATTTGCTTATGAGAATAGCTTGTTTTGTTGTAACCAAAAGATAAAATATGTCAGAATATTTTGCGATATTAAAAATAAACGTTGTTTTGTTTTATTTGTTGTATGTTCAGTCTCAGTCGATTCCAAGTTGAAACATTGAATAATGCAAGTAATCGATTTTCTGTCATATTTTAAAAGTCTTTTTAAAAAATCATATGGTCTTCCTAATCGATAATACATATTAATATAATAAAGATTTTTAAATTATGAACGGAATGACGTGACAATGACGCACCAATTTTCTAAATACGTTAATTTGGTCTGAAAATAAAGGCAAGTTTTATTTAGAAAAAAAATAGAAGAAATGTTTTATTTTTGCAAATCTAGTGTAGCTCGCTATTACACTTTTTGGCAAAGAGAGCTGAACGAGATCGTGCATAAATCGCTAACGATGTTCGCTCCGTTACAAAAGCACGCTGCTGTTAGCTGTTAGCCCCTTCTTTCCTCTTTACCCCGTTCATTTTGCATCCCCTTTCACTGTTCTTCACCGTCGCTTGATTTATCGTTTCGATGTGGACAATGCGAGAAATATTCTGGCGTGGTTGCTTAGTAAATCACGTTTCTTTGGCACTTCATGGTCCACCCAATGGTCCACCCAATGGTCCACCCAATGGTCCACCCAATGGGTCCCATTTGGGGATATTTCGCGCATACTAGCAAATCGTATATTAGCGCTGCCAAATATACGATATACGAGAGAGGAGAAAAGAGGGATTATAGCGCGACCAAACTAATAAACGTCTAACATAAGATACGTTGTATGTGTACGATTCATGTATTTAGAATACCGAAATCGTAATCGTAGCTTTATATTTCTGCCTTTTATTTGCAAAATTGTTCTTTCCTATATTACTACATACATTAGGCCGCTAATAAATAAATAAATAAAAATTCCTACTTACCGGTTGTTCTCTTTTGAATGATCTTCTCCTCGATTAGTGCTCTGACGCTATTAGAGACCGTTTGTAAAGGCGGTCCGACGACTTCTTTTTTTTCACTTTTCTTATTCTCGGCATCCTGAGAAATAATTATAAGGTATCGAGATGGTATTAAAATACAAAATTGAGCGTCTGGGATATAATATGAATTAATATCTAACTAGACAAAAAGAACAACGTAGACAAAAAAGAAACGTAAGCGAGATGACACAATATGATCAACGGCTTATCCAAGACTTTCACTCCTATTGAGAACTTAGGATGGTCCAAAGTCACCATTATGGTGACTCATGACGAGTGATCATGAATTAGAGGCTTGTATCGCGATTAAATTGACGGGGCTCGTGATAGAGATTGGATATTTGAGCTGGGGAAAGCTGTTCAAGAGAGGGAGGGACAGCTAATCACCGAGCGAAGCTAATTGAGGCGCCCATTCGATTATCTCATGATGGAATCTCTGGCGTATGTAATACACCAACCCACGGGATACTAGATCAAGAGGTGGCACCTTGTCGAGCCCTACTGTGGGGGACTCTTGAAGTCCTACTGTGATCTAAGAGTCTAACAAGAATCCTGCATTCCGTTATCCATCATTTTTCGATTCTTACTTTGCCGTTTCGTTCTCTACACCATTGGAATCGTGTTATTTTTTATTATACGCACGTTTGTTCGTATTTTGTTTGACATCTTAATTCATTCGAATATTTCTTATGGTTAAAGTAAACAATGAATTTTTATAGATTCCAAAATGATCATTTACTGACGATTTTTATTGACTCACCGAGCATCTAACTCATTTTTATTTCTTAAAAAAAGAAAAGCACATTAAATAGTCATCACCGGCGAGGAACTAAGGAAATTAATTGATCGTTGGAAATCTTTTTCACTGTATTCGTATCACTTCTCCGATTGGACTTGTTCTCTCTTTTTCTTCTTTCTTTCCTCTCTCTCGGAGAGTTTATCGAAGTGGAAAAAGGCATTCTCGCGCTAGTATTTAGCTTCTTTCACCTCACCCCATGTTGCAGAGGAAATTCCCAGCCCCTCCACGATTGAAAAGGAAAAAACTTTCCTTCTGTAAATCTTTCAGCACTTTTCATTGAACGATGTTGCTCCGTTCGTTAAGACATTTTTAATCAGTGAAGGGAAAGGAGTAGAAAGAGGTAAAAAAATAGAAGAAGGAGAATGAGAAAGAGCATCATAAACGGGCTTTCCATCGAAGAAAAGTAGGAAAAGAAAAAGTGTTTAGAAATCGCTGATCTTTCTATTTCAACAATTGTAGAAGCAGAATTCAGGTCATTTCTTTAACTTTAATGAGATCAATGAGAGAGAAAGAAGAAGGAATAAAACGATGGGAGAACGATGGGAGAACGATGGGAGAACGATGGGAAAATGATTGAAAATACGAGGGATGTTTTACTGAAATCTCGAAAAAAGATTGTCTGACATGTCATTATTCGTAGATCAAGATTAAAGCCTATTTTTTTTTTTTTTTTTAAGAAATGCAGTTACCTTTTTGAAGTAACCGCCATGCAGTCTCATGTGGCCATTGAGTGCGGGTATGTTTTTAAATTTTCTATGGCATAAATTACACTGCACTGGTTTCAGTTCGGCCTGAGATTTATTTGATGCAACAATTGCTCCAGGAGAGGTTGAATTTCCCGGCGAGAGACTACCCTTTCCGACGTTTCCGTTTCCAGGCGAATTAACTTGTTGCTGTTGCTGTTGAGCTTGCTGCTGTTGCTGTTGAGCTTGCTGCTGTTGCTGTTGTTGTTGTTGTTGTTGTTGTTGTTGTTGTTGTTGTTGCTGTTGTTGTTGTTGCTGCTGTTGCTGAGCCTGAGCCTGCTGGTGCTGTTGTTGTTGCTGTTGAGTTTGCTGTTGAGTTTGCTGTTGTTGCTGCTGTTGCTGTTGAGCTTGCTGTTGCTGCTGCTGTTGTTGTTGTTGCTGAGCCTGCTGCTGTTGTTGCTGCAATAAAAATTATATAGAATTTATGATTTATTAAGTAGGAAGTTTTCGAACACTTATCTAATTATAAAATTTCTATATTTCTTGTATACATCTTTTTTGTCTTTTTCTCTTTTTCTCGTCGTTAAGTAAAATTAAAGTGTTTAAAAGTGTTTTTCTTTTTGGTAACATATCATTTTCAAGTGGAGACCCCTTTCTATGGATATCCCGAAAGCGCGAACTTGATGACTAGCGGCGCAATACCTCGTAAGCTTTGTGACTTTAAAGAACGTACTTTCGACGAGTACTTTCCAACTCAATATAGAGTAAAGAAAGAAAAGAGGAGAACGGACGAAAGCAGGTCTAAAAAGTAGAAGAGGGAGCGGGAGCGAGAGCGAGAAGGGGAGCGAGAAGGGGAGCGGGAAGGGGAAGGTAGAAGAAGGGGCCTTTTATAAAGGTTGATCACCTGAGGCTCGCGTAATTACCTGGCAAGTATAGAAGGAGTGTAGGAGCGAGAGAAACGTACTCTCTCTAGTACGTTTAGTACGAAGCGTAGGACGCTAATCAAAGAACGCTCTGTGTTGGCGCGCAATTAACCTCTCGACCGCGACCGCTAACTCTGGTGCTAACCCTACACGCAAACCCTACACGCAAATCCTACACGCAAACCCTGACACAAACCCGGCGTTCCTCCTTTCGCTTTCTTTCCGACCTGCAATAACATACATTTCCCTTTCGATCGCTCGCAGATTCACGCTTCACGCTTATTTATTCTATTTTGTTTATTCGAAAATGAATATTACATTTTTCATAGATTAAGAATTTTTACCGTTATAGTAGTACGAATGTAGGATGATATTAGGGGTTGGTGGTAGATGGAAATTTGAGCTTTTCATGAAATCTTTTACTTGTCCAAGAGCTTTGACAGAAAAAAGATATCCAATAGAAGAAAAACAATGATGATACGCAAAAAATACGAAATAGGATATCAAAGAGTTGATTTAAATAATGAAAATAGTAGTTCGCGTGAGGATCGTTCTTAATACCGAGTTATTCGATGAGTCGATATCTTCAGCGATCCTGGCATGTATGATTAAATTAGAACAATGCCGGCATAACCTGCCATGCCTCTACTCATCCTTTTCTCTCTCCCTTTGCCAGTTTACCACTTACTAGACGTTGGTAGTTTAGGAACTCGACAGTACTTCCCTAAGAGAGGGAGAGACAGAACTAACCCCCTAGTACGCTTGCGTTAATATCTACGTAGATCTATCCTCTTCTCTTATGCTCCTCATTCCATCACTCTCATCCTCTCACTCTTTCTCTTTCTCTTTCTCTTTCTCTTTCTCTTTCTCTTTCTCTTTCTCTTTCTCTTTCTCTTTCTCTTTCTCTTTCTCTTTCTCTTTCTCTTNTTTCTCTTTCTCTTTCTCTTTCTCTTTCTCTTTCTCTTTCTCTTTCTCTTTCTCTTTCTCTTTCTCTTTCTCTTTCTCTTTCTCTCTCTCTCTCTCTCTCTCCCTCTCTCTCTCTCTTTCTTTATCTATCAATCTCCTAGAGGTCCCATATCCTTTTCCCTTCCTATCAGTCTCACTTTGCCCCTCTCTCTTCCTTGTAGCAGTAACTTTACACTTTGAACGATTCCACGCCAAGTATTGGTAATAGCAAGGTAATAGTATAACGACAATTCCTTCAGCCGAGTTAATCGTTTCCGTCATTGCTTCAAACCAACTTCATTCCGTTTGAGACGTCAGCTTTCAGCAAATTATTCACCTATCGAAGTGTGCGTTTACTAGAATCGCGTTCATTCTTCCGTGTAAATAGACACTATCATGGCATTAAAGACATCACCAACGTCAAAGATAATATCAATGTTGCCGATATCTATGGCCCGATAGCAAGTCCACGTGCCACCGCATGTGTCCTAAATAGAGAGATCGAAGTTCATATTTACCAGGTCGGTATTTCATTTTCTTCATAAAAGTTTTTGTGCTTAATATTAAGGTTTATACATTAGTTATTTCATTAGTGATTTACTAAAACAAGGAAACATTATTATTTTTCCTTTGATTATTTTTCTTTTCTGATGAATTCTAGTTTTCAAAGTTTTCTTTTTCAGCAATTTGATCGTTCGAGAAAACACGTAGAATGCTATATATAGAGTGTGCAGTGTAGTAAGTAAGGAAGACAAGAGGATAAAGTAGAATGAGGGACAGTATAATGTAAGGGCGTAGAAGAGAAAAAAAAGAATGGGGAGAAAGTGGAGAAAAGCGTCGCGTAATTACGTTTTATCACTCGCCTCCCGGATTTCCTTTGTTACATTAGCCTTTCTTCCCCTATCCAGAATATCTAAGGTTCAGGATCCGTTAAAATACGAGGAGGACGGAACGAGAGCAACGTTAATCTTGAACCTTTTTGAATAGAGTGAGAGGTAAGAAAAAAAAAAAGAAGAAGAAGAGATAGTTCGATATATCGAATATCATATTTTACATATATCTAAAAAATATAATTAATAAAGCTGAGCGAATTAGTGAAAATACGTTAGTTTAAAAAAAACATTGTCTTTTTTCTATGCTTTTTGACATCTTTGGTTTTTATTATATGCATGGCGGAGGAAGGGACGAGAGAATGACAAGTATAGGGACGGATAGAACGGATAGGACGGAAGGAGAAGGAGAAAAGCTGGCAGGGACGGTAATGGAAACAGAATGGGATAATTCCGCGAGCCGCGGACGGACGCGGTAATTGCGAATAATTGCATTGTCTTCTAGTTCTGCGCTTCGGTCTCTCTATCTATCTCTTTTCTCCCTAGTGTTGCTCTTCCCTCTCGACGAGTTAGCTCTCTGAATTGCTTTGGTACGAATTGAGAGCCGACTGGTGGAAACCCTCATACCGATTAGGAAATCTGGTCTTTCTCTTGGCTCTGTCCAAGCCCACTTCCCTTCCTTTCTCCATTCTCCGTATCTCTCAAACTCTCTCATCAGGCTATACGTGTATACAGTCTGTCGACGGATCGACACGGTACCACGTGGAAATTACGGTCGAAGAAAGGAAACGTTTGGCACGACGTCTGCCATTGACCAGCTTACACATCGTTCAGATATACATACATATATTCCTTTGATTTCTCTCTCTCTCTCTCTCTCTCTCTCCCTCTCCCTCTCCCTCTCCCTCTCCCTCTCCCTCATTCTCTCCATTTCCTTAATTCTCCACGTGATAAGTTCTCTCGAGTACATTCTACGAAAAATCGATATCGTTCCATCGCACATATGGAAAGTAAATGATGTAGAGTGAACGTTTGGCCATTATAAATACATCAATACTTCGATAGTATGTATGAGAACACAAGTTGTAAAGTTCCTTTAAATTTAGACAATAATTTTCGTGTGCTAAAAACTAATTATATTACAATTAAAATATTTTTTCTAAGTTTTAAGAAGTTTATTTTTAATTGATAAATTTTAGGTCAAAGAGATCCTACATTTAAGTAAAAGTACTTGAAAAACTATGTTTCATGGTAAGGTGAAAATCAACTACACGAGTATATTGCATGTTAGTTATCCAAATGGTGTGATGTAGTTATTAAAGAAAAATCGATAACTTTGCATCTAACTAAAATTTCGAGGAATCTATCAAGCTCAGCAGCGAATACGTGTCCGGTTTAGTGCATCATACGCGATAACAAGAAATAGAAACGACAAGGATGGTAGACGGGGACGAAGTGGAAACATAATTTGGCGTAGGCAACGCATAACTCCGACAGTATCTGCCTGTCAGATAACGCATGCCGTATTCGGGTAGAGAGCTTGGATGCTAGATTCCCAGTTCTGTATGTCTCTAGAGGATGAAAGAGAAGGACTGGAGATGGCCTTCCTCTCGTACACTTCTATCTTTATATGTACGTCGGGCACTTTCACCCTCGTTCTATGCCAGCCGATTGTTCATGCCGGCGGCGTACCAAAGCGGAATACATAAAATCATACGTAGGATATATACACGTTCGTACAACGCGCACAGAGTTTGATTAATTCGAACAGGGTTTTAACTCGAGGTATATGTTGAATTCGATAAGAAGGGACTATCTATCCTGAATTCTAAAATTCACAAGCAGTTCTTTGACCGATCGATAACGTCGAATGGCTTCAAAAGAGAATACAAAGTGCTCATGTAAACCGTTCCTCAAAAATGAAAAAATAAAGTTTTCTGAGTGTGTAGAGTCTATTAAGATCCGACATCGTAAATATCAGTTCAATTTCTATTCTGCTTTCTTCCCGTTCACGTTCCGCCACATTATAATAAACTATCAGAAATATTCCAATCAATTTTATCGTGATTGTTTGTTCACTATTAACTTTTAATCCAAATTTAGGATTGAATTTAGGATTATTAGGTAACTTGTGGCCATCCTTACACGTCTTGTTTGTCAAACAAACAAAAAAGAAAAAAAAAAAGCAGAATAAATGAATAGGCTGAAAGATGAATTAAAGAACGTTGATACTTAATAAGTTTCTTTGTTGACCGTCAAGATTAGTATATGATATACCTGAAGAGAGAAGCGATAAAGATAATCTGGCGGATAATGCGTTGAATACTGTTGCTTATGAGGGGGGGAGTGATGATGCTGATGAAGATACTGCTGCTGATGATAATGTTGTTGTTGTTGTTGTTGCTGCTGCTGCTGCTGCTGCTGCTGCTGCTGTTCTTTATGGTGATGATAAAGTTGTGGTATCGGCTGCAGTTGTTGCTGTTGTTGGTACTGATGCTGATGCTGATGCTGATGCTGATGCTGATGCTGATATTGATACTGATGCTGATGCTGGTGTTGATAAGATATATGTTGGTTTTGTTCTTGATTTTGGTGCCGATGATAATACCAAACATGATTGTATCCATCCATGTCACAAAAATGTCACACACAAAGTCTATCGCGTCGAACGTATTGCCGACGTGACAGAAGAAAATACGGC